TTCACTGGAAGGCATGGACGTCATTTTCGCTTTAGAAGTGGGGGGGGGGGGGGGGGGGGGGGTGGGGGGCAGGGAGTGTGTGTGTGTGTGTGGGGGGGGGGGTGGTGGTGGTGGGGGGTCTTTACAATATGCTCTAATGCAGCCAGGGGTGTCAAACTCAAACTCACACGGGGCCGAAATGAGACTCTGGGACGGAGTCGAGGGCCAAACTTAATATTTTTTGAAAAAGTGACGGTAAATTTGCACATTTTCTTTATCAACATATATGCAATTTTGAACCTTTTAATTTGGAAACAAACTTATTTCTGCATTAACACTGAATGTGGAATAACCAAATTACACACGAGCAAGTCAGTTTTAAATAAAAGGCATCAGAGGTATTCGTTACTTGTGGTATAATCAGCATTTTTAAAATCTATTCAGGATTTATGTTTTCTTGTTTATTCATTTTTCTTATTTTTTATTCTCCTTTTTTCTCCTGTAATACGCGTCATCGCTGCTGTAACGTCTAGCTTTCCCCACTGAGGAACAATAAAGGGATTTTCTATTCTATTCATCTATCTGCAGCCTTTCCACTTCCTGTTTACTGTAGGTTAAACCTTTTCTCACGGGCCAACAACAAAATAAAAATATCATTTTATCTTAAATGAAAATGCAACATCTCACCTGTTAACTTTCATGTTAACTGTTTTTATTAAGTAAAAACAAATAAAGAAGCAATACAATTCATCCCCACAGGCTAAACTCTGCCACAAGGACCAGTTTGGTGTGCCATCGTCTGGCCACCCCATCAACATGTTCTGGAGGCGCCCCTGGAGTGGATGCTGTTTGCATCCTGTTGCATTAAAGTGGAGAATTGAATCCTGCAGATTTTCTCTTAAATAAAAACATCTTCTGAAGTGAAGCTGAGTCTGAGATTTGCTCTCAGATCAAGTTCCTAATGAAGCTGCTGGAAGCTTTGAACCTCCAACAAATTAAATAAAGCTTCATCTAAACGAAAGTGACACCAGATGTTTAATCCAGATACGTGTGGGCCTCTGCAGGAGCACATGAAAGGTGGAGCTGGAGCTTCAAAGCGCGAGAGTCATCTGTTTACGTCCATCTCCCACGGTTTCCTCCTGAGGGTGGAGGGAGGCTGACACTCAGAGGTCAGCCTTCACCTCCCATCTCAGATGGCTTCGCCTCTGAATTCTCCTCCTTTTGTTCGTTTCTCCAAAGAAGATGGAGGAGCCTTACAATTTGAAGCACGCTCGCTCAGAGACAGCTACGGTTGCAGATGTGTTCAAAACCAGTCCAGAAGAGAACTTTTTCATTTGATGATATTAAATAAACTCTTATATTTGGACCATTTTCCCTAAAAAGAAGAATAAAGGAAAATGAACCCTAAAATCTTCCAGTTTTAGTCATTTTTCAGATATTATAACCCTTTCAAAATCTGAAAACATATTCTAAACTCTTTACTGTCTAATGTTATCATAGCAGAAAATAATCAGTTATTTTGTCATAAAAACTATTAAAACTGTTATTTAGACCTAAAACTGGCCATTGCCTCTTTTAGGTTCTCCACCAGGGGGCAGTAGACACTCATTGGAGTTGATCTGGCAGGTTTCTGGAGAAAGCACTAACCCTGATGCTCCATCTGGATGCTTTAAGTGGTTTGGTGTACATTAAAAACTTTATTCCTACATCGACCCTAATCACATTTCCTTTGCACTGACAGCCCTCCCACAGAAACTGTGTCCCACAGGTCTCTCTGCACATGTTACTTCTGTTTTGTTTCTAGCTTAGTTCAGCGGTGAACACTTCCTGGTGTATTTTATAATTATCAGAAGAAACTCAAACATTATCATTTACATGTTCTGGCTCCATTCTCTCTTCACCACGACAGACCGGTACAACGCCCGCATCACCACAGACGCAGCACCAATCCGTCTGTCGATCTCGCGCCCTATCTTCCCCTCACTCGTGAACAAGAACCCCCCCACCCCCACCCACCCCGAGATATTTAAACTGCTCCACTTGGGGCAGGACCTCATCTCTGACCTGGAGAAGGCATTCCACCCTTTTCCGATGCAAAGCTCTCGATTTACCGGTCCATCTACGTTCCTACCCTCACCTATGCTCACGAGCTTTGGGTAGTGACTGAAAGAACGAGATCGCGGATACAAGCGGCCAAAATGAGTTTCCTACTCAGAGTGGCTGGGCTCTTCCTTAGAGATAGGGTAAGAAGCTCGGTAATTCGGGAGGGAATCGGAGTAGACCCGCTGCTCCTCCGCGTCGAGAGGAGCCAGTTGAGGTGGCTCAGGCATCTGATCAGGATGCCTCCTGGACGCCTCCCTGGTGAGGTTTTTCGGGCATGTCCAACCGGGAGAAGACCTACAAGAAGACCCAGAACACGCTGGAGAGACTATGTCTCACGGCTGGTCAGGGAGCACTTTAGGGTTCCCTCAGAGGAGCTGGCCCAAGTGGCTGGGGAGAGGGAAGTCTGGGCCTCCCTGCTCAGGCTGCTGCCCCCGTGACCCGACTCCGGATAAGCAGCCTAAAATGGATGGGTGGATATTTCCAGTGATCATAAACTCGACGACAAGCCTCAAAATCTTCTAGATAAAGATGCTGTCGGCTTTGTGTGTTTATATTGTATTTACTTAAAGTACTATTTATTATTCTGAAAGTATTTAAAGGTAAAGTTGAACAAAGTTAAGAGCTGAACACTTTCAGCCCTCCTGGTGAACTTGAGTCCTCGACAGAAACAAGATCATGATGAAAGGAAACTGAAGCTCACTTTGATCCTGGATGTGAAGACAGTGTTGGACAGAATCTGACAGTGAGCATCTTCATCCACCTAGAGAAGGAGGGAGGTGAGTGGGAGGTGAAACAGGGTGGTGGTGGGGTGGGGGAGGTGGGGGGATGATGCAAGAGAGAGTCAGGGCATCAGACAGACAGACAGTTGGACACATAGACAGACAGGCAGTCAGACAGGCAGGCTGACAGACAGTTAGACAGAGACAGGCAGGCTGACAGACAGATAGATAGATAGACAGGCAGGCAGACAGATAGACAGACAGTTAGACAGATAGGCAGGCAGACCATCAGACAGACAGATAGACAGTAAGACAGATAGACAGACCGTTAGACAGACAGTTAGACAGACAGACAGACAGATAGGCAGGCAGACAGGCAGACAGTTAGACATATAGACAGACCGTTAGACAGACAGACTGTTAGACAGATAGACAGGCAGACAGGCAGACAGTTAGACATATAGACAGACCGTTAGACAGACAGACTGTTAGACAGATAGACAGACCGTTAGACAGATAGGCAGGCAGACAGGCAGACAGTTAGACATATAGACAGACCGTTAGACAGACAGATAGACTGTTAGACAGATAGACAGACAGTTAGACAGATAGGCAAGCAGACAGGCAGACAGTTAGACATATAGACAGACCGTTAGACAGACAGATAGACTGTTAGACAGATAGACAGACAGTTAGACAGATAGGCAGACAGACAGACAGACAGACCGTTAGACAGATAGGCAGGCAGACAGGCAGACAGTTAGACATATAGACAGACCGTTAGACAGATAGACTGTTAGACAGATAGACAGACCGTTAGACAGATAGGCAGGCAGACAGGCAGACAGTTAGACATATAGACAGACCGTTAGACAGACAGATAGACTGTTAGACAGATAGACAGACAGTTAGACAGATAGGCAGGCAGACAGACAGACAGTTAGACATATAGACAGACCGTTAGACAGACCGTTAGACAGACCGTTAGACAGACAGACCGTTAGACAGACAGACTGTTAGACAGACAGACCGTTAGACAGACAGACTGTTAGACAGACAGACTGTTAGACAGATAGACAGACCGTTAGACAGACAGACTGTTAGACAGATAGACCGTTAGACAGACAGACTGTTAGACAGATAGACCGTTAGACAGATAGACAGACCATTAGACAGACAGACTGTTAGACAGATAGACAGACCGTTAGACAGACAGACCGTTAGACAGACAGACTGTTAGACAGATAGACAGACCGTTAGACAGATAGACTGTTAGACAGATAGACAGACCGTTAGACAGACAGACTGTTAGACAGACAGACTGTTAGACAGATAGACAGACCGTTAGACAGACAGACTGTTAGACAGATAGACCGTTAGACAGACAGACTGTTAGACAGATAGACCGTTAGACTGACAGACTGTTAGACAGATAGACAGACCGTTAGACAGACAGACTGTTAGACAGATAGACCGTTAGACAGACAGACTGTTAGACAGATAGACAGACCGTTTGACAGACAGACTGTTAGACAGATAGACAGACCGTTAGACAGATAGGCAGGCAGACAGGCAGACAGTTAGACATATAGACAGACCGTTAGACAGACAGATAGACTGTTAGACAGATAGACAGTTAGACAGATAGGCAGGCAGACAGACAGACAGACCGTTAGACAGATAGGCAGGCAGACAGGCAGACAGTTAGACATATAGACAGACCGTTAGACAGACAGATAGACTGTTAGACAGATAGACAGACAGTTAGACAGATAGGCAGGCAGACAGACAGACAGATAGACAGACCGTTAGACAGACCGTTAGACAGACCGTTAGACAGACAGACCGTTAGACAGACAGACCGTTAGACAGACAGACCGTTAGACAGACAGACTGTTAGACAGATAGACTGTTAGACAGATAGACTGTTAGACAGACAGACCGTTAGACAGACAGACCGTTAGACAGATAGACTGTTAGACAGATAGACAGACCGTTAGACAGACAGACCGTTAGACAGACAGACTGTTAGACAGATAGACAGACTGTTAGACAGATAGACTGTTAGACAGATAGACTGTTAGACAGATAGACAGACCGTTAGACAGACAGACTGTTAGACAGACAGACTGTTAGACAGACAGACTGTTAGACAGATAGACTGTTAGACAGATAGACAGACAGACAGCAGGAGACTCATCCGGAGGCTGGTAACATTTATTAAGAAAACAGGAACCAGTAAAACCTCCATCTGCCTTCATGTGAAAGAACAAAATCGATTCTATTAAAAAGAGGCTAAAACATTATTTTCCCACTAAGCATCCGGTCAACTATCAGAAGAGCAGACAGAGAATAAAAACAGGAACTTTTACAAGATTACAAAAGTTTTACAGCTGCAGAGAAAAATCAAATCAAGACTTCTGTGTTTCTGAGATTGTTTTCATCGATTTAAGAGCCGTTTGGTGGAAGAGCAACGACGGATCACTGCAGTCCAGCTCTGTTTCCACATCGCTCACGTCTTCACACGAGTTCTGCTGCCGGTGCCAAACCCGGGTCTGACCTGGTTGGTGCTGCTTCGTCAGGTCTGAGGAGGTCGGGTCTCCTTCAGCTCACAGTCCCGTTTCTACCTGAGGAGGTGTCGCCACTCGTCTACCTGCTTCCATCCCTGATTGTGTTGCATTGTTTGTCTCCTCTGCTGCTGGATCAGCACCAGGAAAACGATCTTCCCACCATCTCAAAGAACAGCTTGTTGGGCTTCCTGAAGAAGCGGCAGAGCTTCTTCAGAGCCAGAGAGCTGAGCGGAGCGTGAGGTCTGCCTTTGGACTCGTCCAGGCACTTGTCGTGTCCGGCGGACAGCAGGCAGTAGAAGCCCTTGGTGGTGTTGAAGTAAAAGTTGTTGGGGTTTATTCTGGGAGGAAGGTCCAGAAACCGCTCTGCCTTCCTCAGCTCAGGAAAAGGGTCTCGGATCAGAGCGTCGCCGTCCACCACGTGAATCTGATCCCGGGTGAAGACCTGGAGCCAGCGGGCCAGGTGCTGGTGGTACAGGCTCCTCTGCAGAGCCTTGTATCCCCTGTTGATGTGGCCGTTATGGAGCAGGAGCTCCTCCAGGGGCTGGTAGGACTTCAACTGGGTCAGGCGGTTGTGCAGAACCTGGGTGTAGTCCGACACCAGCCTCTCCGCCGGGTCCCGGACGATGAGCAGCAGTCGGACTGCAGGGTTCATGTCCCAGATCCGGGCAGGAACCTGAGGAGCTGCAAAGTATCCGGGGGTCTTCTCCACCGTCAGCTGAGCGGGGAGGCTGAGAGGCATCTGGGCTCGGTACCAGTCCAGACCACGGCGGAAGTGCTCCTCCACGTTGAAGAAGTGCACCTGACAAAAATCAAAAGTAGAAGTTAAACTTGCTGACGAGCCTCTGGGTTTACTTTTCACGAGCTCTAGGAGACACTCCGTCCTTTGATCCCGGGTCCATCCCGTCTCTGGTTCTGATGCTAAACCGTCCTGATTACCGAGCAGGTTTCTGAGGACGCACCTGTCTTCAGTCATCACTTCAGGTCATTTTGTGCATAAGATGGCTGAGCCAAACTGATCTGGGACCTGTTTCATCTCTTTGTGACCTGATTAATGATTCACGTCTCCGGTGAGACTCGGGCCAGAGTCAGCAGACGTTCATCCGGCACAATAAGAAAACGACCGATGATTCACAAACCGTTTACATTTCTCAGGAGTTTGACTCAGAAACCAGGAAGCAGGTCCAGATTCGGGCTTTTGTTTGATTCTTTTCTGTTATTTTTTGAATACAAAGCTTATCTGCAGCGAGTGGGGTCGACACGTTCATTATGACCTCATTTATGGACACGCTGCTCTCAGCTGAGCATCGATCACCGTGTGCTTCACGGACCGGCCTCCTCCCAGAACAACAGAATGGGTTTATTTTTGTGTTTTTCTGGATCCTCCTACTGGTCAGCGCTGCAGACGACGACGAAGACACCCTCACCCTCTCCCTGGATCCCATCAGCAGCTCCAAAGGAGATGTGTCCCTGACCCCTCTGACCCCGAACAGCCTCAGACTTTTCTAAACGTCTGGCTGATGATGCATCTCCTTCGTAAGCAGGCCAGACTTTTACTCCTCTGAACTGTGCAAACATGATGCTTCATCTTTAGAAGATACTGCAGATGCACCAAACTATGGATTTGTATTTTTTATTGAATAAACAATGACAACGAAGGCTTTTTGAGCCTAATTCTGACAGACAGGGGCAGAAGATGCGCTCCACAAGCAGCCAGAGCCACAAAGAGAAGAACTGCAGAAAATATGGAAAACTTACATGAAGATTTTAGAAGAATGCGTCACTACATGATGACCACCACAGAATAAGAGCGCATCATCATCATCATCATCATAGTGTTTGTGTTTTACCTCTGCCTTTGCCACCTCCACATCCGGGTGCAGGTTGAGCATCTCCAGCAAGGCTCTGGTGCCGCCTTTCCTCACCCCAATGATGATAGCTCCGGGCAGCCGCTGCTGGGAGGCGTTGTAAGATGATGATGAGGAAGAGGAGGATGAAGGAGGAGAGTAAAGAGGCGAAGTGGAACTCCCGCTGCGCAACTCCCTTAAGCACACAGAGAGCTGCGTGTGCAGCAGGAGAAGCAGCAGCAGCGCTAGTAGCAGCGTCCATAGCATGGTGCCACACACACACACACACACACGTATGAAGCTCCCACGCAGTGCTTGTTATCAGTCAGCAGGGGGCCTCAGGAGGATGCTCTTCAACTCGACACCCTGGGAGACAAGAGAACACAAAAGGTTATCGTCCTCCTGGCTCACAGTTTACCGCCAGAAAGCTGCAGGACAGGTGATCCACTTGTTAGGAAACGTGCTGATAAACAAGCAAAATGAGCTCCTTTTAAATGCAAATAACTCAGAGCCAAAAAATAAGAGATGAGACTGGAGCCAGGCTTTGATGTGTTATCGCATTCAAACACGTTTCAGGTGAGGAACCTGCAGCTGTTGCATCAAATCGGTGTTTAAAAAGGGACAACCAGCAGAATGCACGTCTAAAAGAAAATGATGCATGTTCCAGAATTTGTCCAGTTCGATTCTGGGGCTCCAACCAGGCTCTGATCTGCTGTAGGGGTGGGGGTGCAGCATCGGCACCATTAAAGTTGTGAGTGTGCAGTCGCGGTGTAATTTACTTTCCTCTCACACGCCGTAGCGCCGCACACATGCGCTTGCTCAACTGTTTTATGATCCCATAACTCTGCAGCGGCCCTCGCTTTAATGGGCCGTTTTACAAACTCTCGGTGCGAGCAGAAAACACAGAGCTGCCATGTGATTACGGCCAGAAAATGTTCAGAGATTAATTCCGCGTCCAGAGCAGACGGAGACGAGACGCTCTGGAAATGAACGCCGCGTGGTTCGGGGTCTCCTCCAGGAGCAGCATCACTCCGCCGAGCTGCTTTGGTGAGAAGCTGCAACAGGTTTTACGTCAAAAACGCTGCAAAATGTGACATAAAATGGAAATTAAAGGCTTAATGACCCATGAAGGAACTCCCGTCAACAGAGTTTTAAACTGAGATCATCTTCTGTTGAGTTACAATGTGTGAGTGTAACGTTTGAGCTGAGGGGAAAACGCAAACGAGATTCCTCAAGACCACAACAGTAAGGGAGCCAGTGGTTGGTTACCAGCTGGACTCTAAACGAGAGGAATTGGAGACTATGATAGGATGGTTTACTGGAATTCTAAAGTTAATGTTTGAAAACGGACAAAATAGAGAAGTGAATGGTGTGAGGTCTGACTCGGACTTTTGGATTTGGGTTTTTAATGCAGGAAAAAAAGAAATGGAAACATCTGGTGATAAAACACCATGAAATGAAGGACCAGAGAGAAAAAGACTAAATCAGTCGTTTATGTGATGATAGCTGTGGTTGCAGCTCAGGTTCCTTTATTTGTTAAATGCGAAAAGTTTGCTATGATTAAAATTATTATTTTTGCTTCATTCTGGGAACGTGGCATAGTTAGAAAGCTAGGAATATTTATTTATTTATTTATCTTCATTTTTTTCGTGTCCTGTCTGGCTGTGAAGCAAACAGAATTGATGTCTGAATGCTGGTGACAAGCCTTACAGATTTACTCTCAGGTGGAGCATCAAAGTGTTTGCTTTTAATGTCACGCCTGATACTTAAAACTTTATTGTTATTGTTGTTGAATGCTTTGTAATTCCGACCAGACACGGGGACAGAGTGAAGGAGAAAGCAAAAGACAAAAGCTGGCACAACCAGCAGCCAGCAGAGTCCCGGGAGATATCAGCAGCAAGCCCACAGGCCTGCCCGCAGCCTCCCACCCCCCAGCCGGCAGAGCCCGGGGACCCAGATCCCACCAGGCAGCCACCGGGATTTATCAGGCAGACGCAAAAAATCTTAAACCCCCTGACCCGGGAGCTGCGAACACTCAGGCAGACCAAGACACCGCACTCCACACCAGGTGTGGCAGGGGGAGGGGAGACAAAGACGTATATCATCAAAAGAAGTCCCAGGAAAGGGGAGGAGTCAAAGGCCCCACCTGACATATACAGTCATACACAGACACAGTCACACACTCCCTCCCTCATGCTCACACACACATACAGCCAAAGACTTACGAAAATGCACGCCGGACACCCACTCATGCTCCCCATACACACACTATTCACTCTGGTCCCGGTACTGCTGCACATGGGATACAACCATTACCGGTTCCCAGAGTTTGACCCTTTCTGCTAGGGTGCTGATGAGCAGGCTCCCCCGCCCAAAGCTGACCACAGCAACCCACCACCCCAGACCCCAACTGGACGGCTGGATCTCCCTCCTAGCCTCCAGCCCCAGGAAGCCAAGCGACAACAGAGGTGTGCTAAGACCCCCTAGTCTCCCTCCGCCTGCTCCAATATAGTGCTGGTGCGTGTTGATGAGGTGTATTTCATGGCTGTGGTGAGCGGGCAGTGCGGGCATTGTCTGGCCTATGCCAGCTGATGCCACCACACCACCCCACTTGCACCCACAGCCCTCAGTGTCTAAGTGCAGATTAAAATTGGAAGTGGGCACCGGCACTCGGGAGGAGGCTGAGAAATCCCCCTGCCAAGTGCCGTTGAATGTGCTCACTCCAAAGGTCCTAAGTGTGTGTTTGCGTGGAATGTCGTTGGTGGAAGTGTATAAGGTGCAAATAAAATTGGGGGCAGGTTGCCACAGGAATGCAGAAATGGGGTTCATACCCACACCCCCTGACTTGTCCACCCCCCAAGGTCCTATGTGCATGTTTGTGTGATGATGTGAGGGAGCAGGAGGAGAAAAATGTGTGGGGATGGGGAGGAATGGCTGGTTGGACTTAAGCCCTCCAGGGAGCCAGCTCCCTCACTGGCCCCAATAGGCACCTCTGTTGCCAAAATGCCACCCAGGGCATGGAGACCCCAGCCCATCTTGCCAGGGCCCAAAGCAGCAGCATCACAAAGCCTCACGGAGTCCAAGGGCACCAATCCAGCCCCACCCCAGCAGAATATCTATGCCCATCCCTGCATTTGCACAACTTCCAGAATATATAAGACATAGGACATCCAGGTAAGGTTGGGTCTTCCCCCTCCTGGACATCCCCCTCCCCTGTGATGGGACAGCAGAGGAGCCACGGTCTACCCGAGGCCCCTGAGCCTGGGCCAGGCACTGCCGCATGTTCCCGCCTTCTTCCCGGCAGCATACATGTCAGGACCTGACCCCCAAGGCCTCGCCCAGATCCCCATTCGGGGCCGGCCACCCCCACACCCCAGGCCCCCACCCAGACCCGCTCAGGGGCAATGCAGCTGCCAGGCAGCAACCCATGGCTACTGCCAAGACCCCCAAGGGGCCCCACTCACACCCACCAGTAGTCCACCCCCTGAGGCAACCCAAGCACCTCCAGAGGGGGGCAGCAGCCCCCCAGTCCCAGACACCCCCGTTGAACCCACCTCCAGGGAACGTCCGGATACTCAAAACTCAGACCCTCCACCCCCCCAATTGTCAGGAATGTTGCAGTGTGTACAGGTGTCAGACGACACAAACCCCATCCTGAACGTCCGATGACCTGTATAGTGTACTCTGTGTAGAATTTAGTACTGAATTAATTGTAAATTGGGGTGTCTGATCATTTTAAAAGTTTTTAAACAAGTTTGGGACCAGAAGTCCGGGTCAAAGCTAACTGATAGATCCACCTCCCATTTTTTTTCAATAGGGATTGCAATTTTATCGTCTATTTTGGACAGTGTCTTATATACTTTAGACAGTAGTTTGGGGGGTTTGAGATTATAGAAGTCTAATACCCTTGGTGGTGTTTGTAATTCTATTTTATTGAGCTTAAATTTTTGTTAAACTACAGAATTAATTTGGTGGTATTCTAAAAAGCTATTCTTATCTATTCCAAATTGGGAGACTACTCTGTTAAATGGCATGAAGTCCAATCCTTCATATATGTCTTCCAGGTATAGGATTCCTTTATTTTTCCAGTCCGGAAGGTTCATCATTTGGTTATTTTGCAAAATATCAGGATTATTCCAGATAGGTGTGCGTCTGCATGGTACTAGTGAGGACTCTGTCATTTTAAGATACTCCCACCATGCTGTCAGAGAGGTGCTGATACTAATACTTTTGAAGCCTTCATGTTTTCTTATGCTTGAGCTAATAAATGGTAAGTCTGAAAGCTCTATCGTATTGCAAAGTGTCTGTTCTATATCTAACCAGGACTCATCTAGTGGGTTATCTTGTAACCATCTTGGTATATATTGCAACCTGTTGGCTAAGAAACTGGGAATATTTTAGAAAAATGTATTCAAGGTACATTTGAGAATTCTGTTGGTGCTTTTTTCTTTGATTTTGTTGATTAGTTAAAAAAAAAGTTAATTTTAAACTCCAGAATGAGAATAAACGACTAAATCAGAGAACGACGGATCTACAAGTAAAAAACATGGATGTCTGGGGAAATATGTGAAAAAACCTACAAATGACTGACTAACTAACTAACTAACTTACTAACTAATTTATATTTTGATATATTTGGCCAAAACATCTATAACTCCATTCTCTTATTTATTTATTTGTTTGCTTGTTTGTTAAAACGTGTGTGGGTGAATGGCTAGGTTTTTTTGTAAAGTGCCTCGGGGGGTTCCAGGACTCGGTGCTGTATCCAATGCAGGCCATTTGTTTGTTTGTTTGTTTAGTAAAATGTGTGTGGGTGAATGACTGGCTGTGTTGTAAAGTGACTTGGGGGGCTGTAGAACCCTAGAAGAGACTTTATGGATAAATAAAGACTTTTTATCATTTTTAACTATGAGTGAGAGTTTTATTAAGGAAGTGAAGGAATGATGATTTTAGCCGTTTCAGCCTAATTTCATAAAAACAAAAATAAAAGGCTGATCTACGACTATTCTGTGTGATGAGCTGGGACTCTCGTTTACTCGTCCTGATACCTGATAACTGGTGTTGATGGTGATCAGCTGTGGCGGCCATCTTGGCCTGGATTAACATCCAGAAGCTAATTAGATTTATGATCAGAGCCATTAATTATGTTTCTGATAGCTTCTTCAAAATCCATCCAGTGGACACACACACACACACACACACACACACACACACACACACACACACACACACACACACACACACACACACACACACACACACACACACTTGGAGATTTCCATCACGCTGCTGCAGCCCGTTAACGCTACAGTTTATGAGTGAGGTCATGAAAACATGGCGATGACTCGAGGCGGTGTTTCAAAGCA